TACATATATATATATATGTATGTATGTATATGGGATAAAAATTTTGCGGTTCTAAAGGAGTACGGTTCAAGCTTTTCCAAGAATATCATATGGATTTTTCCCTACTCCAGGTATGTTAAGGCTATCCCTTCTTTCTTTTTGGCAGGACCCATACGACACGAACGAAACGAGCAAGTGCACAACTTCCATAAATGACTCTATTCATAGAAATACTAGGGGTGTCTTTATTCTTGATTCCCCATGTGAATTATTATTATATCTTCTGTTCATGGGTCTCAGAAAAATACGTATTTGATAATGTTTATCCGACAGGAATATTATTTTTATGACATTCCAAGAAATCTTAACGTATTTCTTATGCATTTCATACATTTATACAGGTACATTAACCCATGACCAGATGATGTTATATACGCGTGATATATATATATATATATATATATATATATGGGATATGCGAAAGGTTATATACGCACCACCACCTGATCAGCTGGTATACGTTGATGATTTTGCCCTAGTGACCGAGATGATATGATGGGATTTCCTTAGAGGCTTGATGATATTATGAATGCACGACATGACATTCATAAGCACATGCATGACACTATTAGTATTTCATAATTTACAAAGTTATATAGACTTACAAATTGAGTCCTTTACTCCATGTTTCTTCCATGCTCTTTATATATTTATCTACATGCCATACATACTTAGTACATTATCCGTACTGACGTCCTTTTGTTGGGGACGCTACTCATTCATGTGATGAGAAAGCTGAGAATGAAAATTATGCATGCCTGCAGGTATAGATAATCAGTTTGACGAGCCCTCATAGTAGACGAGATTGGCATTCAGCGAAGGATCGGTAAGACTCCATCTCATTCGGAGTGCATCCGAGTGTATGAGTCATCGTGTCAGAATTTTGCTACGGACTTATGGGTAGGCCGGTACCCTGTCCCATTTGATGTCAAATAGAGGCTTTGTAGACAAAGGTTCATTTTGTATAGTATGTTAGAGTCCTTGACGGCCCATATGTATTCATGTTTTAAGAAAATGGTTCAATGATACAGTGTTTTCTCACTTACAGTTGTACATTATGAGTTGTGGCCATGTGGGCCCATGATAGTTACAAAAGGAATAAGTCCAGCTAACTCGAACTATGTATGTTCTAGGTTTGGTCGAACGATCATGAGTTACAGAGTGGTTCGCTAGGGCCAGCACGGCACCGGGTGCCAGCCACGCCTCCCCAGGTTTGGGGCGTGACACTATCCTAATTGGCTGGCAAGATGATAAACCTATGCTTAGGTTGCATCAATCTTGTCCATACTTAACTTGCTTCCTGCGTTCTCACCTGCTCCCCTAGTAACATATTGTAGCTCTTTGTCACTGAATAAGCACCATTAGGAGTGAGTGTGTACTCCCCATTCTGATACCAATTTTCCATAAGGCCTTTGAGGGAGTTGAGCTTCTTCCGATATCAGCTGCAGTCAGCTGGAGCGGTATGGTTCCATATATTACTTTCAGTTTTCATATATACTCCATAGACCCACCTAACCTATGAGATGCCCTCCTTTTTGTCAGTTGCCAGAGTAATTTTTCTACTACAACAATGTTCCCCAGCCTGCAACTCTTTATGTTGAGGCCTCCATAATTTTTAGGTACACACACTTTCTCCCATGCAACTAGAGCCAATTTCATGTGTTCTTCTGACCCCCTCCCCGCGCGGAGATAATTCTTACACTTTTGATCCACCTCTTTAAGTACACTCTGAGGTAAAATGAAACCCCCAAAAATTATATATAGAGAACAATACAACATTTATAACAAGTACTCTCCCTGCATAGGACAACTTTCCTGAGTAGGCACTAGTTATCCTATGTGTGATTTTACCAATTAGTTGATGGTAGTCCATTTTACTCCATTTCTTTAATGACAATGGCAAGACAAAGTACTTGATAGGTAAAGTACCTACAAAGAACCCTGCACTTGCTAAGATATGTGCCTGAGTTGCTTTATTTAGTCCAGCCAAGAAGATATTGGATTTGTTCACATTGTCCACTAATCCAGTGACACGACTAAAATGCTCTAGTGTTTCCATTACCCTTGCTATTGATCTGGTGTCACCTTTGCATAAGATCATTAAATATTAAGTGAGTGAGATTCAGGGCTTTGTACATAGGATGGTATTTGAAATATGGAAGTTCACTCATCTTCTTTAGTGTCATTGAAAGGTACTCCATTACAAGCACAAACAAAAGTGGGGACATGGGGTCCCCCTGCTCATGCCTCTTTTACCTTCAAAATATCCATATCCTTGTCCATTAATTTTCTCAGAAAAATTAGTTTAGGTAACACATTCCATAACCAACTGAGTGAATGAGTCTGTAAACCCATAGCCTGTTAGAGCTTCTTCAGTGAATTCCCAGCTCACCATATCATAGGTTTCTCTCAAGTCCACTTTCATTGGACATCTAAGTACTGTCTTCTTGTTGTAATGTCTCATTAGATCATGACAGATTAGCACATTGTGTACTAGAGATCTACCTGCCACAAAGGCTGCCTTATTTTCGGCCACCAAGTGAATCAAATCTTGTTTCAATCTCACACATAGGACTTTAGAGATGCATTTGTACAAGGTATTACAACATGATATTGGTCTAAATTGACTTGCATATTCAGGATTAGGTACTTTTGGGATCAGAGTGATATTTGTTGAATTGATCTGTTTCAATAACCTTCCATTATTTATGAACTTTAGTACGATAGTAGTGACATCTCTCCCTACAATGCTCCAAGCCTTCTTGAAAAAATCACTCCCATATCCAACTGGTCCTGGGATCTTACGCTATCAATGATAAACATAGCCTTCTTCACCTCCTTGTCAGAGTATGGTTGAAGTACCTCCATCTGTTGTCCAAATGTTAACACATGGCCATTGCTCAGAAAACTCTTGAAAGCTTTGGTTCTAGTTGCTGCTTTGCTGCCCAGTAATTCTTGAAAAAATTCCACAAAGAGTCTAGCTATGTTTTCTGGCTCTGAGTGTATTACATCTGCGGCATCTTTCAGTTGTGTAATACACTATTGTAATCTCCTATGTTTAATAACAGAGAAGAAGTATTTAGAATTATCATCTCCAAGCTGAATCCATGTTGCTTTGCTTCTCTGTTGCAAGAAGCTTTCTGCCAGATATGATGATCTTCTAAATTTCTGATATTGCTCTTTCTCCTGAAATTGTAGACTTTGGTCTCTGGGAGTAGCCTGCAGTGCTCTTTGTAATTGATCTAATTTGTTTCTATCCTCCTCAGCTTCAGTTAGAGTGTTCCTAAAATACTGCTTATTGAGCTCCTTCAGATTCCTCTTTAGTGATTTCAGCTTCTTAACTACTTGTTGCATAGCACATCCTAACTCTGAGTTTTGCCAAGTTGCTGTCACTACCTCCAGGAACTTAAGGTGAGTTGCCCAAATGTTGCAAAACTAGTAGTTCCACCTTGATGGGAGATTTGTCACTAATACCTGCCGGCTGGTAGTTTGCTATGTAAGCAGGCATCTGGAGCAGCCACTCATTATTGATGAAGACCCAATCTATCTTAGAGAACACCCAATGTCACTCCATATGTATCGATTTCCTTTTGGAGGCAATTCCAACAGTCCACAAGACTCCAAACAATCTTGAAATTCCATGACTTCATTCACTGTGACTGTGTTGCACCCAATCCTGTCATCCATGTTAAGCACTGCATTAAAATCTCCCATGGTAATTCATGGTCCATTGCAGCTTCTACTAACATCATTTAGATAGTGCCACGACACTCTTCTATCCTCTTTGGAATTATGTGCATATACCATTGTTAATATGAATGTTGTATTCCTATTTGTTACCTTGCAAGCCATAGCCTGTGCATTGCCTGAAATTTGGTTAGCTTGAAAGAGATCTGGCCTCCAAGTTAACCAAATCCTCCCATTGTAATGGTGCTCAAGTTTGGTGACATACTCCCAACCTCCAAAAAGTTTGCCTGTCAACTGCTCAATCTTATTTTTTTTATTTTTGTTTCTACCATAACTACTGGTCTTATTTCCTCTTTCCTGCAAAGGAGTTGCACCCTCTTTGCTTATTCGGCCATTGAGGCCCCTTAAATTCCAACATAACATGCTATTCCTGGCCTGAGAGAGGTATAAAACTCCCTCCCTCATTTCTAACTTTACTGGCTCTTTCTCCTCTATTGCTTTGTTCTGAACATTCCAAGCATTTTGCTTCTGAGCTTGTACTCTTTGGTTAGATTGTTGCTTGCTTGGGTTCAGGAGAGTAACCCATGCACCTTTACCAGGTTGTAGATTGGTTCCTTGAGCCTTAACAACCACTGTACTTGTTATTGCTTCCTTCAAAACCTCTGTTGCTTTCAAATTCTCAGTTGCGACTACTGTTCTTTCTAGTGTCTTTGTTTCTTCTGCTACATTCTGCCTCTCTACCTCTAGCTTCTTTGGAGACTCTTGCTAGGGCTTGTTCTTCTTCCTACAATTCTCTTCCACATGGCCAAACTTTAGGCAATATTTACGTATAGTAGGTTTCCAGTCCTATTGAACTCTTTATTCCACCATGCTTCCCTTCTCATTCCTGAAAAACACCTTCTCCGGTAGGTTAGTATCAATATCTACTTCAATCAGTAGTCTAGCAAAGTTGAGCCTCATCTTTTTCTCAATGTTCTGATCCACCATAAGCGGCTTCCCAATCAGACTCCCGATTTTGCTAAGCCCCTTAGGACTCCAATATCTGAAGTCCAAACCTGGCAATTTTACCCAGATTGGTTATGTGTAAGATCTTCTCTAGTGAATTCCATATTCGGACTCCAAGCCTTTACAATGAATGACTTCTTGTCAAAATGATATATACCTCCTTGGATTGCCTCATTCTTCCCTAATTCTATGTCAAAACGTACTAGTACAATGCCATTTTTCAGCATCACTATTTTATTAATGCCATGCTTTGCCCATTGTCTTTATATGTATCCATTCAAAATTGTGAATGGAGGATGTGTCCGGTGACAAAACCAGGAATTTCATTTAGGGTGTTCACACTTGAAATAAGTAAAAAAATCCCCCATAAAGAGTGTTAAATATATGTTAAATACCATTTAAATCTAAAATTTTACCTATATATACAATGTAATATTTTTCAACGGCCACTCTTCGTGATATGTACCTTCGCCCTTGGATGTGCCCCCAGTACATAGCATACCACTACAGTTTTCCAGCATGTTATTTCAGTGCTTATGTCCTCTATGTCAATTTCACAAAACAGGTAACTCACCATGCTTTTCTGGTGCAACAATTCAAGTTTGAAACCTGCGTTGGAGACCTTGGTAATGTCGAAATTATCCCAAATTGAGCTCTTTGTTGTCATCTCAGCTGATGCATCCACTTTCTCTGCCATGTCATCCTTCGATTACTACTCGAACTTTGAGTTGAGGTTAATTTCTCAGCAATCTGAAAATCTACTGTTCCATTGCCTTGGTCTATGATCCCTTCAATTACAGCTTCATCCGATGTTTGTGTGTTGTCCTTTGTCCCCTTTGACTGAGATACTGTCTTCCTTTGGTGATTTCCTTCATATGATGCAGTTTCCTAGGCCATTATTGCCTTCTGAGAGGGAATTCACACACTCTTTTCTATGGATGGCGCAGGTTAAGCTTAGCATGCGCCGAGAGAGAAATATATCCGCCCGCGCAAAGTTGCAAAACAACTTTTAAATTAATTTTTTTCCCACCATATATTTATGGTAATTTCTTATTTTCTTTTGTGTTAGTGTAAAATGAAATAATATCTAAATTGAATGGAAAAAAAGTATAACTTGAATATTACATTTTCATGTAAAATCACATTTTATTCTTGTATATACTTCTACTCAATCATAAAAGTAAAAATTAAAAACCTCATCTCCTAATTAAATAGCGGAGAAACATTTTATATTAATTAATCCATTTTCATTTATTGCGTATTTGTCGAAATTGAATAATATTTTATTTAGTAGATATAAAATATAAAGTTTACTAAAAACGCACAAGGTAACGCATGTTATTCTATTT